GCACTTCGCAAATTTTTCCTTTATGGCCTTCAGCTCCTTCTGCGATTCGGTTTTTATCTTTTCAATCGAGTCAAAACGGTTTCCCTCGGTTTTGACTCGATTGAAAAGATAAAAACCGAATCGCAGAAGGAGCTGAAGGCCATAAAGAAGGAAGAATTTGCGAAGTGCTTCGAGGACTGGAAACTTCGTTGACATAAGTGCATTGGAGCCGATGGGGATTATTTTGAAGGGGACGAAATGGATTTTCAAGAATAAATCAAGGTTTTTCATTTTACAAACAAAGTCACCTTTCAATTTGATCACAGTAGTACATTGTATAAATTGTACAATGTTGACAAAGTTTTTAAGCGTTTTGATTTGCTGATATAAAATAGAATGTTTCTAGACGCAAAGAGCACGTTGTAGATTAGGCTTGATATTCCCAGCGAGAAATGTCTCGCCGATCGATGTCGAGGCGACGTCAATTTTTCGATCCGCACCTTAAAAAATCACCTTTTTTAATAAAAAAGGTTTAAAAAACACGCCAAGTATAAGCGTCATTTAATCAAGAAGTATATAATTTAATTATTTGGACATCTTTTATTTAAAAAAAATTGTTTTATCTTCTCCCTCCTCTCCAAAGTATCTTCTCTACAAAAGTAATGATATCATTAAATGGTGTCAACTAAGCTGAATATTTACACAAACTAGTCCGATATCGTTTCGATGAATCATTTCTCACTGGGCTGCTGAGCAGGAAGTTATGATATTGATGCTACATAACTGGTGTTTGCTGGATAAAATGAACAGATAATAAGTTAAGAAATGTAACACGGAGAATTATTTGACGCCAGTAAATGACTAACAGTGTTTAATAAATTAAAAATTAAACATATAACGTGCGACGTTTCGACCACGATAATTTTATTTGCATCTATGATAAGCGCTGTAACTGCGATTATTGGTTCGTTCCCTTTTGGGATTTGTGCTTGATGAGGACCCAAACCCGCGGTCGAAGCGTCGCACGTTATATTTTTTATTTTTAACTTATTAAACAAGTGCCAGGCAAGGTCGACTAAACTGATCCATCGTTTCCATTATAGTTTCCTAAGTGTTTGTAAAATGTTATTGTCAGTAAATTAACCAGGTGTTTGCAACGTACTTCCAACCATCAATAAAACTCTTCATAAACGTAACTATCGATAAAACTCTTCATAAATGAATATAAACATCATCTCTCGCTTAAAGTTTTCGCCAGGGCAGTAAAAGTGCAGTTGCTGATACGTGAGTCATCAATCATATCGAACCGATTGTATCAGCAAAGAAAGGACGGTACCGCTCGTGGTATATGTTTCAGTTATATCTGTAGCCATCATCAACACCGTAGTTACGAATTCCTTTGCTGGTCCACATCAGTCAAAAAGCTTACAGTTCTGTCCGTTACTTGTTAACGAACGTGAAGCACCGACAACCGCGCTTTTATTCTCGCTGCTCCTGTTGCCTTTCGATTAGATAAATTAACGGCGTTCTCTTTTCCAGAGCCTGGATTATGATCCGTGCGAAAATTACCTCCTACAGGACGAGGAGAGGAAGAGAGGCTACAAGTTTATCGTTAGAAAGAATTTTGCCAGGTGGTTCATCTTCCTCTTGATCGGGATTTGCACCGCCCTCATAGCGTGCTTCGTAGATATACTGATAGAGGAATTATCCAGCCTAAAGTACGGCTCGCTTAAGAAATGTATGTTTGCTACCGTACTCAGTTCGTACGAACCTACGCAGCATCCCGCGATAACACGCGTATCTTTTGTGCTCGATAGATGTGGACCAATGCGCGATGCAAGGCTGCCTGTGGTTACCATACATGATGTGGGTGGTGCTGAACGTAGTGCCAGTTTTAATAGGCGCCGTCTTAGTGTCCTACGTCGAGCCTGTCGCCGCGGGGAGCGGCATTCCGCAAGTCAAGTGTTATTTGAACGGAGTCAAAATACCGCGAGTCGTGCGCATCAAAACTCTAGCTGTGAAAACCATCGGCGTTATATGTACCGTGGTCGGGGGCCTGGCGGGAGGCAAGGTGAGCGGGTTTATACTCCACTCTCGTCGTTCTCCTCTTTCGTCAGGATCGCTCACATTTCGCGTGCTTCTCTTTTCCAGGAGGGCCCTATGATCCATTCCGGTGCCGTCGTAGCCGCGGGGATCTCTCAGGGTAAAAGCACCACTTTTAAGAAAGACTTGAAAATATTCGAGTACTTCAGGGAGGATCATGAGAAACGAGACTTTGTAGCCGGGGGCGCCGCGTCCGGCGTATCGGCCGCTTTCGGGGCACCCATCGGTAAATACTTTAATTAAATAATCTAATTAAATACTTTATTTTACTTAAAGGCCCACTTCTCGCGTATTTTTTTTATCCACTTAGAGTCGATTTTTTTCTTACTACAAATTATTAGAGGAAAGTTCCCTATTATGAGGCAGGTTTCTAACGCGAGATGCAGGTTCTCAACGTCTTAAATTCAATCACAAGTTTTTTTTTATTGCGACGATTACACGATTACACTTCAAGAGCTATAAATTCGTGGTGGAACCAATAGATGATGCTTGTTAATTTAACAGAAACCCCCCTATCTGATAGAAACTTTCCTCTAAATGTTAATGCCAGAGTTGGGAAAGTTACTTTATAAAAGTATTTAGGTACAGTTACAATTTTTTTTGCTAAAAATGTAACTAGTCACAGTTACAAGTTACCAATTCTGAAAAGTAACGCGTTACAGTTACAGTTACTAAAAAAATAACGATTCGTTACCTTGAAGTTACTTTCTTGCAATGAAGATAAAAACAACGCTGCATTTGAATTGTAAAGTGTCGATATAGGCGTTTATGCGCAAATGCAAGGCCTAATGCAATCTGTGGAGATTTAAAACCCAAAGTAACTCTTAATGTAACTATCAAATTAGTTACTAGTTATCGAAAAAATGTAAATGAGTTAAGTTACAGTTACAGACGGAGAGAAAGTAACGAAGTTAAGTTAGAGCTACCAAAAAAAAAAGTATCTGTAACTGTTTCGTTACAAGTAACGAGTCACTTCCCAACCCTGAATTAATGCCACACAAGAAATGTCCTGCAAAGTCGAAATGATTTTTGAATTTTTTTAGGCGGAGTCCTGTTCAGTATAGAAGAGGGCACTAGCTTTTTTAATCAGAGTCTCACATGGAGAACGTTCTTCGCCAGCATGATCACCACGTTCACTTTGAACGTGATCTTGAGCGCGTACCACGGACACCTTGGAGACCTCTCGTATCCCGGCTTGTTGAATCTTGGAAAGTTCGACTCGATCCCTTATCAGATCTACGAGATACCTCTGTTCATGTTGATGGGCACGTTCGGCGGGTTGCTCGGCGCTCTTTGGAACCACGTCAATTACAAGATCACCTGCTTCCGTTTGCGATTCGTGACGCAAAAGTGGCAGAAAGTGATCGAGGCTCTCCTGGTGGCGATCCTAAGCGCGACCATGGGATTCCTGATGATATACTTCGTCAACGACTGTAAGCCGTTGGGCAACGATCCCACCAAGTTCCCGGTTCAAATGTATTGCGCGGAAGGGGAGTATAACGCGGTCGCCTCTCTGTGGTTCCAAACCCCCGAGAGCAGCGTACGATCCTTGTTTCATGATCCTAAAGGTATACGACAAGAAATAATAATATAATTGAAAGACAAACGTGATAATAATTCGTGTATTCGCAGGAGCTCACGATGATATGACGCTAGCCATTTTCGTTGTCTTGTATTTCTTTCTCGCTGCCGCGACCTTCGGCCTATCAATGTCGAGCGGCCTTTTCATTCCCTCTCTATTGATCGGATCCGCATGGGGTAGATTAATTGGATCGGGTCTCGCGAAGCTGTGCCCAACTTGCGTAAGCGTGAATCACGGATTTAACGTTGACGCAGCGCGCAAGTAAACTATCAGTCGCTGTACGCTGACACGTATAATTTTGCAGGTGGTATTGGATCCTGGCAAGTACGCTTTATTAGGTGCTGCCGCGCAATTGGGAGGAGTAGTCAGAATGACGATAAGTCTAACCGCGATCTTAATAGAAGCAACTCAGGGAATATACTTCGGTTTGCCGGTCATAATAGTCCTCATAATGGCAAAGTGGGTGGGCGATTTCTTTAATGAGGCAAGTATCACGTACGTCGCATTTATATAAATAGAGGAAGCTTCCTAGTATGAGATAGGATCCTAATATGGAATAGCAGGGTTTCTGTTAAATTAATAGGCATCGTCATTTGATTCCACCGTGAATTTATTGCTCTTGGAGCGAGATCTGTTTAGTGGAAAATCCATTGTTAGATTGTGTAATCTAACGTTGCGAAGAAAGACTTGTGATTGAATTCGGATGTTGAAAACCTGCTATCTCATAATAGAAGACTTTCCCTCTATACACACCTGCGTGTTTTTTGAATAATAAAATATTGATTTCTTGTTTAGGGAATTTATGACATTCACATACAAATGGCAGGGATTCCGTTACTTCCTTGGGAGCCGCCTCCGCTCTCAAATAACATATACGCAACCGAGATAATGAGTCATCCCGTCGTGGCATTGAAGACCGTCGAGAATGTCGGGCATATCGTCGAGCTTTTGAAATGCGTTACCTTCAACGGATTTCCGGTGGTCGATCCACCAAGTAGCGATCAGGTAATAAGCTGCAAGGCATTAATTATCCCAAATAATTTTGTACATATACTTTGATACGTAATTATATCGTTTTTCTTTTTCAGGCCGAGATAGTTTCTTACGGGCGACTACGAGGTCTAATATTGCGTTCGCAGTTAATAGTACTTTTAAAAAACAAGGTATTCAACGAGTACGAGGAATTTTGGGAGAAACCTTTAAGCATAAAAATGTTCCGAAACGAGTATCCTAGGTATCCAACCATCGAGCAAGTCGCTATCACCGACGAGGAGAAAACTTACACGATTGACTTGAGACACTTCATGAATCCTTCTCCCTACACAGTACAACATGTTAGTAGCTCTCACGTTAAAATCTGTTTACTACGTAGAAGCACTTCAGACTCGGTGTAATGTTTTTTCCTTACAGTCTGCCACACTGCCAAGAACATTCAGGCTCTTTAGAGCACTGGGATTACGTCACGTGCCAGTAGTAAATGATACAAACGAGGTAGGATTTCAATTTTGCCATCTACCATGAGAATCGCATAAACTTCATTTGTATATTTCCCTTAGGTGATTGGTATTATCACTCGCAAAGATGTTGTGAGATTCAGGATATGGAAGCACCGTGGGAGAATGGGATTGGACGAACTTTTAATCAGTAACAAGATGTAGTTTTTTTTTTATTTTAATTTTACTTTCCTCGAATTTTACGCGTTTAGGAGTCGTCTAGTCTATTGCAATATCCCGATGTATTTTTATCATAAAAGACATGTATGTATGTATGTATATACACACATATATAGCTAATGAGGCGCGAAAGTAAGATTATATATAGAAATGCATAATTGCATTAAGGGAAGCATGTCAAAGTCCTATAATTATGCCCAGGCTCGTCCGGATTGAAATAAATATGTAGTCGCGCTCCCGCGGGAGCGTCCGGTCGAGACAAAGGGCATAATTAGGGTCGAGCTTCACAGGTAAGTTCGTTATAAATTATTTATATATATGTGTGTGTGTATGTACACATAAGGCAATTAGGCTTGTATTTTAATAATGCCAAAGTTTTAATTATTTACAAACAATTCCCACCCAAGCCATGACCAAAGCTTGAAGAAAAGGTATACAGGTAGAATAACTAACAGTAAGAGAAAGTAGTATTCGTACGACATGTGCATGTCGAGTGGCTTCGGCCGATGTTTTATCACGCCGATTGCTTCTCCTCGACGAGACGCTGTTATTTATTTGATACGCTACGAATCTTTGTATACGTAACCTGAAACAAAAACCAAGTATTCTGTTGTACAATGAAGAAAATAGATTTATTTATTTTTACAATCTCGTCTAGCTTCCGTCGAATCCTAGAGCCTGATCTACAATGTGCTCCCTGCGTCTAGAAACATCCTATTTTGTAGCTAATGTATAGTTGATAAATTGTATATTATACATTGTATAATCGTACATTGTTGACAAATTTGTTGAGCGTTTTGATCTGTTTATATAAAATAGAATGTTTCTAGATGCAGAAAGCACATTGTAGATTAGACTTAACTGTGCCAACTTTTCAGCAATTGTGCAGAATGATTTGAAGACGCCGGTACTGCGGCAAGTAAATTTACATCCAACTGCGGCAAACAGGATTATTGGAGGAAAGTCCTCTGTCACGAGAGAGCAGGTTTTCAATCGCATATCTTTTCTCGCAACGATCACACAATCTAACAATGCATTTTCCATTAGATTTTGCTCCAAGGGTAATAAATTTATGGTGGGATCAACTGATGATGCCTCTATGTACACAATGTTTCTAAATTATTGGAAAATTACAGGCAAGAAACGCTTAAAAAATTTGGTATATGCTATTGTTTTTTCAAATGTATTTATCGACTACAAAATAGAATGTTTCCAGACGCAAGAAGCACATCGCAGATTAGGCTTTACACTATATTTTAATCAGACTCTTCCGCGACTCGAAGTTACATTTGTACAATTTTGTTCCACATAAATTTATTCTCCGCAGCATCGATACGTTTCGAACGAATCACCTCGTATAATTCGCAAGTTCTCGACGACAATTAACCACGCGCGCGTCTCGAGTGCCCACGTTTCAATTTTTGAAAGGCAGACACGTGTACTATTGTCCACGGATTCGCGCAGGTTTCAGCAAGACGTCGTATCGTCGCGCGACACGTACCGGCGTCTTTTTCTTGAAAACGCGAGTCCTCCGTCCCGAGAAAAATGCGCGTCGTCTCCCAGCGCGGGATGGGCGGCCGCCTCGATCCCCCCGGCGATCTCTCGGCGCGCGACATGTACGCGCGGCGCGGGCCTTTAAGACGCTCGCGGCTACGTAAGGACGCGCCGACGGGCGGTCAATAGTTTCGCGAGCCGTGCACCTGTCTGTCGCGAGGCCGCGGACGACAGTGGGAAGGGGTTATGGTCAATAAACGCAACCACGTCACACGCAGCCTATCGGCGGCGGCGGGCGACGACGACCCCGCTTGGCCCCTTAAAGTGGCTCCGTCGTCGTGAAAATCTTACGTGTTCGGCCGATAACGCCTTTGTGCGCCCCTTTCGAGGGACAAAGCGGGTAAGGGCCGCGCGGAGCGACGTGGGACGCGGACCGGCGGACGCGGCGCGCGCCAGGGAAGCCGCGGACGGGTGTCGCAGCCCCGGGGCCGGCCGATCTCTCGCCAGGGTGAGTCGACGGCGCGTCTCGGCGGATCGGCCGAAACGCGTCCGCCATTGTTGTCGATCGGCCGCGACGGCGGCCGGCCGGCGCGGAGCGGAGCGGGGCGGGAGGGGGGACAAGTTACGCCGCGAGAGGAGAAGACGACGTTCTTAGCTCGTCCGCGCGCGCATGCGCCCCTCCTCCTGCTCCCCCCCTCCCTCCCGCCCCGCTCGTCAGCGTGTCCGACGCTGACGCGACGGGGACCGGGGACGCTCGCTTCTTGTGGCACTCTGTTGGTTCTGGTTGTTTCTCTGGCGGCGTCGCGTACGCACCGACACGCACACCGGGCGATGACGAGGAGACGCAGCAGACCGAGGCCACGACGAAAAGAATGTAATCCCGGTATGTGCGCGCAGCGGCTCCGAACGCAGTAAGTCGTCGTCGACGGAGACGTCCGGTATCGTTTCTCTAACGGGGCGATTCTCGGTCACCCGTGCAGCTGACCGAAAAAAATCGGAGCAACGAGCGTTAACGGCTTCCGGTGACGAGCGTATTGCCTAGGTGACCGAGGGTCGTTTCATCGCGACGCGACGCGGCGTGGCGTGCTCTCGTTAGGAGGTTAGGTTAGGTTCCGTGCGCTAAACTGCCGCGCGAGAATCCGGGCGGTCGTGTTTTGTCGTCCTCGTAAAGCCCGTATCAGACTACGGATTGGGATTGGGATTAGATTGAAATTTAACCAATCGCAGTAAAGTTTACTAATCCCAAGTTCAGTAACTTTTACTCCGATTGGTCAAATTTCAATCTAATCCCAATCCCAACCCGTAGTCTGATACGGGCTTTACTGTGATTGGTTAAATTTCAATCTAATCCCAATCCCAATCCGTAGTCTGATACGGGCTTAACACGAGTAACCTGTCTGTTTCAGATGCCCGACGGACTATTTTTCGAGCTGTGGCACGCGTAAAGTAACCGGACCACGTTGCACTTGTTGAAGAGGCGGAGGCGTCAGGGGAGCTGAATCTGACTGGAATATTTATTGGACTTGATTTATTGTATCGTAAATGATTTTGGATATTGTGAGTCGCTTCTGAACATGATAGCACGCGCGAGGGAATGGAATCGAGACTAGTTGCGTCAGTGTGTAAAGCTCAATGCCGGAAAAGGATCTTGCCTTGAGACAGTGAAGGGAAATGCGAGACTATAGATGTCAGAGACAGGGGAGGAACGTGCTGTTAGACTGTATACGGCTGCGGAGATAATGAAAAACGCCAGAGCCAAGGAGACCGAGGAGCAGGCGGCGCTGAGGAGGATGCAGGAGGCGCAGCGGATGGCCAGGCATCGCGCCAAGAAAAAGCGTTGCCTGGACGAGAACCTGGCGCGGGAAATCTCCAAGATCGCCGAGCTGTCCAAGATGCCCGATTCCACTGCGATAGCCCAGATGTCGGAGATGAACATGAACAAGATATCTGCGGAGTTGAAGCAAATGATGGAGAGGGGAAAAGTACCTGAGCATATAGTTCAAATGGCTCAACTGGCGGAGTTTAACAAAATGAATTCTGAGTTGAACAAGATGTCGCAGGACATGGCGAAGAGATACGAGATGGAGAAGATGGCAGAGTACGCCAAGACCACGGAGTACATAAAGATGCAGGAGCTCGCCAAGATGAACGAGATGGTGAAGCTCTCCGAGATGGCCAAGTATAACGACATCAGCAAGATCAACGAGATTGCCAAGATGAACGAGATGATGAAGATCTCGCAGATGGCCAAGATCAACGAGGTGCAGAGGATGAACGAGATAGCGAAGCTGAACGAGATGGTGAAGATGTCGGAGATGGCGAAATATAATAACGACATAACGAAGCTGACCGAATTCGCGCAGATCAACGAGATGGCGAAGGAGATCGCCAAGATGAACGAGAAGACCAAGATGAGCGAGATGATGAAGATGGCGAACATGCAGAACGACATTGGCAAGATGGACAGACAAGAGTACCCGGTGAAGCTGACAAACGAGATGGTGAAGCTGAACGAGCTGGCCAAGATGAACGAGATCACGATCACGAAGCTCAACGACCCGCCGAAGATGTCGGAGATGCCGTCGCTGCCGCCACCGTCGCGCATCCCCGAACCCGTCATCACCGTGCCAAATCCGAGGAATCTGCAGAACGTGCAGACCGTGCAGGTGGCACAGGCCAGCCCGTCCAGCATGATGAACTACCAGGCCATGCCCGGCCAGAACAATTACGGTAAACTGTTGATGATCATCGAGGAGCTCGGCAGGGACATCCGCCTGTCGTACGCGGGCAGTCGCAGCGCCGCCGAGAGGCTGAAGAATGGCATTCAGCAGGCCAGGGTCGCCGTGAGGGACTGCCTGCACGAGACGCAGCACAACGCGCAACAATGATCTGCCGACGCGAGTTAGCTAGCGATTAGACGACTCATAGCCTTTTATCGTTTCACCAGGCTCGTTGCTTTATACGAATCGCTTCAATTCGGACAGTAGTATCGACACGACGTTGGGACGCGCGCGGGGAACGAACGTGCTCGAGTCTCGTTTGTGGAAACCCAAGCCTTTGAGGCCGCTATCTTTTTCACTCTCGCGCGACACACACGCGCGGCCTCTCCCTTCGCTCGGTCTTGGCTCGATTCCCGCGCGCACGTCAGTCGAACAGCGTTTTACCAATTTTATAACTTTTAAGTTGCGATTTCCGATACATACTTATTGTTAGTGCATAGAAGCGGGAAGGACAGTATCAATTTGTATACACGCACCGTACTACATAGAGAATGTTAGAGAGTCTTAGTTTATATTTTATAAACGAAGGATCGATGGACGGCGACACCATGGTTTTCGTTAAGACTTCCTATACGGTGCAACAAACCTTTATAGTATACGTTTCCAGTGAAAAGGGGAAATTGAAAAAAAGAAGACGGCAAGATAAAAAGCTTTTCGAATATGTACCTAATGGAAAGTATAATCCCGTACATATATTCCATATATCGTTAAATAAATAAAAATTTTGTATACAACGCGGACACCTCGTTCTTCTCTTCCCCTCGGAGTGCTTCAGAATTCGCGTACGCGAGATGGGTGGATTTTCTCGTCGAGTGCGATTCGTTCTGCGCGACGTTTTAAATTTATTTTAATTGGATATCGTGTATTTTATACTTTGGAAAAAATTAAACGAGATGTGAATGTATTTTTGCTTTCTTCGAGTGTATCTTGCGTCGATCTTGAAAAAATTCGTAGTACTTATTTCTTCATTGAGCGAAGACGAGATGAAAATTTGTAAGCTAGCGCTATTAGTAGAGGTGTGGCATTTTTATGTTATTTTTTACACCTTTTGCGTTTTGTTTTTCCAGATTGTGCGTTATTTTGATGTTATTTTTTGGGCGTCTTTTGCGTTTTGTTTTTCCGGATTTTGCATCAACTTGTAAACTTAGTTTAATTCGTTCTTCACCTCTTTCCAACGGTTACTTTTGTATTACAATTGAGGCGATCTCAAAATCTGACTGCCGCGTCGAGCCGTTCTTGAATAAATCTGTAAGGAGCGATTGTATTGATGACGCAGGCAACAATAGTCGGCCAGGATCCATGATGATTTTACCGAGAGTCAGCGAGGACTCAGAAATTGAGATGCGAATCAGCTGGGATTCAAACTATTGGCGAGTCGGCGTTCCAGCGAGAAGTGACTCGTCGATCGACGTCGACACCGTCGAATTGACGTCGATTCGACATCAATTCGAAGGTGTCTATATCTGTTCGACATCGATCGACGAATCGTTTCTCACTGGAGGTGGACTCGAACGAGCTGTAAGATGAGTCAGTCAAGACTCGTAACAAAAGGCGAGTCAGCGGAGATTCGTAGCAAGTAGAATTGTAAGACGAGTCAGCGAGGACTCGAAACCTTACCACTTATCCTGATAACGGTCATGAAATGTTTGTAAGTGGCGGACCAGAAAATTTCCCTGCGAACCGTGTAAAGCCCAGTTATAATATCCTGAGAGTTAGTGGCTGTCCTCGGCCTTTCTCTGTCTCGAACTTGACTCGAGCTCTTACGGAAAAGGTTTTCCTCGCTTCCCCCAGTGAGAAATGATTTGTCGATCGATGTCAAAACGAATACCGTCAAATTGACGTCGATTCGACATCGTTTCGACATCGATCGACGAATCATTTCTCACTGGGCCTTGATCGAACTCCATCGATTCTTTCTAAGACTCCCTTGCGCGATCTGCGTCGGTAAAGGCCTGTGTCCACGATGCTAGGACTTGGTCCAAGTTCTAGTTTCAAGAAATTTGTAGCCAATCGACCTGCAGCTATTCCATAAAAGCTGCAAGTTGATTGACTACACATTTCTCGGAACTATTAGAACTTGGACCAGGTTCTAGCATCGTGGACACAGGCCTTAACATTCGGCTATTTTCGGAACAACTTTAGAAAGAGGCAAGGAACGAATTGGGCTAAGCTTAAAGCTAAACAATGTTGGTGAAACCGGGCCTTAATGTTTTGATAGAACAATTTATGACATTTATTAAGACTAAACATGTGTTAAAAAATGTAACATAAAGCATAACATATTAAAATAGCATGGAGCAAATTACTGAAATTACATGTTATTTTCGGGCAATAAAAACATGTCTAAAAAAGGTAAACAAAAACTAATCTTAGGCATAATTGACGTTAGAAATGTTTACTAAGGAAAATTGCGGACGGTATTTTGCGTTTTAAAAACGTGTTAAAACGAAGTTGGGGACTCGAAAATGTAAAGAAATGCCATTAAAAACGTTCCCGGGGCACTTTGCGATATTTTGCGTACAAAAATAACAGGACAATGTCACACCTCTGGCTATCAGTCGATCCACTTCGTTCCAGTCTTGCGCGCCAAATCGATTGACAAGCTGCAAGATAGACCCCACACAGAGCGGACTTTAAATCGCAAAACGTGCATCAGATATAGACCGCGCCGATCAGCTGTGGAAAATAAACAAAATAAAAGAAATGAAGTTAGGTCGCGCGAGCGGCCGTGACCGCAGGCGAGATTCGAGCAGGTTGAAACTCGAGCGTGAGGCGCGAGACTGAAAATATTAGAGATATTTACGCAGCATTCGCGCGCTCTCTCTCTAAAACGAGAAAGTGCCGGAAGAGGCTCGAACTTGACGATCCGGAATCTCTTGTCGCTGCTTGTGGCCGTATTGGATCCGGACGTAACTGCAGGAGCCAAGAACTTTAATAAATGCTCCGCGTACCGCGTCTATGTCCTTTGTTATCGCCGGCGGTTGCCAGCGCCACCTGCGCGGGAACGCGGGAAGGCGAATCGATTTGCACAGTCTACTCCACGTGGCCACGCTTGAGAGATGCTACTTTCGCGACGCTACACACTTGCGCGTCACGATTATGAGATTTGAGGAAGAGAGAAAGGGAGATCAATTAGGTATTTATAGCACACGTACTAATATTTGCAACTTCGCCCGTGCAACCTGCCGACGTGAACTCTACACGAAATTCCTGGCGCATTGCTACTCGCTCCTGAAGGTTAGCGTTGTGCGAGCGATCTTCCTCGATACGCCGACGTTCCACAGGTTTTATCAGTTTCTCGAATTTGCTTAAGGTTGTAAAAGAATGACCGGGAACCGCGCAGCTCCCTACCCTCTCCCCGAGAAAGTTGAACGGCGCAAAAACGGGGTCAATGCGAAAGTTACGGAACCAAGTACGGAACCGTTGCTGACGGTGCCGAAGCCGAGGATCCCACAGCGCGCGGCGCCGGAGCCGGGGACCGCACAGCGCGCGGCGCCAGAGCCGGGGACCGCACAGCGCGCGGCGCCGGAGCCGGGGACCGCACAATGCGCTGCGCCCAAGCCGAGGACCTCACAGCGCGTGGCGTTTGACCCGAGGATCACACAGTGCCCGGCGCAGATATCTTTCAACCCTGATCTGCCCACGTACACGAGCCTGTTGCTAGCCATAAAGGAGCTAGGTTCCGAGGTTAAAGTATGTTATACCAACTACAAGATCCATGCCGAGGTCAAAAAGCAGATCGAGAAAGCCAGGATTCTGGTCAAGCAGTGCCTTGACGAGGTCGAAAGCGCCAGGAAGAAGTGCCAGTAAACGCTCGCGGCGGTCGCTCGCGTAGGAAACACCTCGTGCCACGATGCACTTTCAAGACAATTGATACCTGACGCAGCGAAGATCGCAGGAAGATTTTAGATCGCCAACAGTATTTATTCTACCTTGCAAATCGACCGTACACCTAAGACTCGCTCAAAGTTTCTGGTGGCGTGCGGTGGTGGCGTCAATGCCTTTTTTCTTTCCTAGAATTTCTCTCTTCAGCCCTGGACATTTCTGCATCTCTCGTTACTTTTGAAATGAGAAATTCACAAGGGGTAGATTTGTGGCTGTCTGACTATTGCTCAACGGAACCATGCAGGAGCTCTGTTAGCTTCCCAGATGGCACACATGGTTATATGAATATTCTTCTGGGGTGCAAATATTGTTAATTTTAGAATATTCCAATCGAATATTATATATATATTTATATATATATGTACACGCACCGGCATAAATGCCGTCCCTATCCGTGTGAGGCGCACACAGACAACAAGCGAACGACCAATCCGAAAGTCGTGCCGCGGTCGTCCGACGATCGGATTAGTCACCCGCTCGTTTGTGTGCGCGAGTCTCACACGGATAGGGACGGCATTTATGCCGGTGCGTGTACATTATCGCAATTAGAAATCGTATATTCATAACAAAGAAGAAGGTTTTTAGAATATTCGTCGAGAATGTCTTTGGAATATTCGTTTAGAATAATTTTTTAATATTCATCGAGTTTCTGTATTGCGCATTGTTTATTGTGTAATATCTTGTGCAAAAGGCAGCGAGACCTGTGATCGTACCATGTATAACCGACACGCTATATTCGACAGTTTATTCTATTCATATTCGAAAAAGATTTATAGTAGTGTCAGTCGAATGTTCCACGAACATAAGATAAGTATGTAGGAATGACCTGTGGAACATTCCAAATATTTGTAGAAAATTGCATGACGACCCATGGCTGGCAAATGAACTTCTTTAATTGGAATTTTCCAGCCATGGGTCGTCATGCAATTTTCTACATTGGTCAATCAATTACTGGCGTTAAATAATTCTTTACGTTATTCCAAATATTCTTGAAGAATATTCTTAAAATGTTCACAGACGTGTCTCGTGATATCTGGGTTAGCTATTGAATGTTCCTGAATACCAAAAGAACTAACAAGTACAAATAACTGTGTTCGTACACTTAAGCAAGTATCCAAATATTTTCTACACACATGTATATTTAGAGAGCGTTGCAGAGTTCAGCGATAGAGCAGCCGGCGATGAAACGAGAGATTGTTCCGTTACCTCTAGCGTATTATGAGGAATTTTGGGTGGACAGATATTGCATTGTGATTGAAACAATAGTCAAACGTAAATTAATTCAAAGTGATTTTGTAACGTTTTACCGTTGCGATAAATGATAAGCTAAGGTGATAATTACTATGTCAGATTCTAATGAAATCTAACGAAACTGTAAGATGTTTGTTGACCGTCTCAATTAGGTAATTGTTTCTTTTTTTAATACACTAATACATGTATGACTGATAATATCAAGTGGAGGAATCCGAGATCTCTCTTACGTTAACAGACATTTAAAATACTGCCGGTAAACAGCGCTATAATCGTACCTGTACGAAGTTTTCTTAAGAATTCTTAAGGAGAATTAGGAATTTATGTCTCCTCGTCTCCGATTTCTCTCTTATTTGGTGACTTAATATAATTTGTGAAAATCGCCAGTGAGAACACTAGCGTCGAGCCAACGTCGATGGGGTCGAAACCGCGACCCGACCGATACTTTTCGAAAATAATTCAGCTTTGGAACGTAATATTTTTTTGCATTAAATTACTACGTTCAACGTTTTGAGCACTTTTGAGATCTCATTGGAGAGAACTGCCGAGTTAACTTATTCAATGCAGAAAATGACGGTTGGGTGGACGATGGTTTCGACCCCATTGGCGTCGATTCGACGCTGCTCCGACTTCAGTGTTTTCACTGGGTCGTGATACGTTTACAGCCTTAACTCATATGTAGTATATACAAAGCAATTATAGTACAAATGAGATAATACAAACAGTACAAATATGACAACAAGATAGTCACTATTTCTAATTATATAAACAATAATAATTTTGTACAAGACGTTTGTATATAATCTACCGTATAGATGTAATTATACAGCGTTGCTTAAATTATTAGCTTACTATGTAATGTTGCGCGGAGCCGTAAATGTATTATAAGAGAAACGAAACCGGTATAAATATGTTCCTACGTTTAAATGCTGTGTATAATATCTATGGCGAAATAAATGTCTTTTTTATTGAAAAAAAAGAGAGGAGAGTTGTGTGTTTAAGCGCCCATTCTGTTTGAGCGACTCACATCTTTCTTTCCGTTCGCGACTCGTATCGGATATACTCTCGTCTCTTTTCCTTAGGCAATCCTACGCTGTACATTTATTTTGCGATCGGTACGCCGTTGTCAATTCTTACACGCACGCATATACCGATCATTCGCCGACTGTAAGTTTATTGTGTGCGATTTGAAAAGAGCGACGCTTCTGGAATTGGAACTAATCGTTGCTTGGATATTCTGACGACGTGACTTTAAACTGTGCCGAAATTCCTTCTGTTCCAGATAATTGAGAGGAACAAATGGCAGAGGGTGTGATAAACGTGCGTACTCTGTCTACATACAGCACGGTATTTCCAGCAGACACAGTCGAGTGGTGCCCCACGGAGCCGTATCGGCATATATTAGCGTGCGGAACGTACGAATTAGTCAAAGATGATCCCGAAACGTCCCCATTTAAACGAGGGCAAATCCTGCTGCTCCGCGTGACACGTGGTGGAGCGTTAGAGCAATTGCAACAAGTGAGCACCACGGCGGTGTTGGATATGAAATGGATGCACGTGACGGACGACAAACAGAGTCGCGTGTTGCTCGCCGTAGCCGACTCCGTCGGATACCTGCAACTCTACGAGCTGATGGAGAACCCGTCGAGTGGAAAGATGCAACTGGAGTTTTTCATTAAATTAAGAGTCGGCGACGACGAGGCCGTCATGGCGTTATCTCTGGATTGTTCCCACGAGAAATACGCCGTCGCGAGAGACGGACCCGCCGTTAACATGCGCGTCCTCGTGAGCGACAGCGCCGGGCAGGTCTCTCAGTTTACGTGGCTCGAGTCGGGCTCTCTGATAAAGGACTTCACCTGCCTCGCGCACAAGTTTGAAGCGTGGATCGCCGCCTACGATTATCACGACCCATGCATTTTTTATTCCGGTACGGTAATTCACGTCAAGTTAGAGTAACACCTTTCCTCTCGAGGCATCGTGCAGGTGGTCGATAGACTTCCGACTAACGTATCGTTCAATTTCAGGGGGCGACGATTATAAATTCGTAGGCTTCGATACCAGGGTAGGATGTAGTCGTCACACGTTCGAAAATAACGACCACACTGCCGGTGTCACCAGCATCCACAGTAACGCCGATAAACCATTCTTACTCGCAACCGGAAGGTAAGAATCTTCGGCAATAACTGTGCGTTTTTTTCCAAGAACGACCGACGAAAGCTCTCTACATTCAATTTTTCACAAAGTTCAACGTAATTTCTATCTACATTTGTCAATGTAACGATGAAAGTAAAAAAGTTATGCTTGTACATTCGGTCTCGGAGAATTTGTACGTTACAGTCATCAATTTCTCTCCCTTCAAACGACTAACGTGCGCTTGGGTGTTTCAGTTACGACGAGAACCTGAGGTTGTGGGACACGAGGAATTTCAAGCAACCGACATCGAAGATCAGCCTCGGCGGTGGAGTCTGGCGCTTGAAGTGGGACCCGTTCAGTCACAGATACCTGCTCGCCGCATGCATGCACGATGGTTTCAAGATCGTTAATCACGACATTATAACGTCGGTCGTTGCCGATTACAAAGACCACGAGAAGCTAGCGTACGGCTGCGACTGGTCATTCCTGACGCAGACGGACGTTTCAAGTTTAGACATCGACGGAGACACCTTGATGACCACTTGCTCCTACGAGGATCATACCCTCAAGATATCCGTGGTTGACTTCTGGCCGGACAAATACACTTCCGACAATTACTGCCTGGACGCTACTAAATCCTCCTCCGATTGCACGTGCTATTAACGATTTGCGATTTGAGAAAACTGAAATGGACACGGTTCACAATTTGTACAATACGCTTATATATGCGCTACAAAGGCTTCAGCGATTCGATATTTATATTAGAATAATAACGTAATTTGCATAGCAAGTGGTAGGTTGCGATAATTTTAATAGACCTCTTTTTACAGATTTTGTTTAACCCTTCGTGGCCCAATTTGAAGAAATGTGTATTTTTTAAAGCGACACACATTTATTATGCGCGCAAATGCCTATAAGTAACTATCAGTTATACAAAAACGTAAAGATAATTGATTGCTGTATCTCGCGTTTTGCAAAATAATGCAAACATTCAATTGTGCACTTTGCGATCACAAAAAAACATGACAATGATTTTCACAGCAAAACCACTGGGACGCAGAGAGTTAATTAATAATTCTGTAATTTCTTCGTAAGGCGAACTAATCGAGCAAGTAAGTTTCTTCAAATGATACTCGGTTAATTTTGAATGTATTTACGTTTTTTGAAACTTATAGTTACCGACTTCCCTTACTGGGATAACAACAGTGAAACAATACTGTTCTCTGAAATACGTGGAATTACAGGATCAGAGATCGAGCTTGAGTCTTTTCGATCGTCTGCTCTACCGTCAAACTATAGTATAGCGAATTCGGTAGCTTGCACTAGTGCGCACTGAGTGCACACCAAGGCTTGTTCAGAGTCTACCCTGATATTTCTGATCATCTCGAGTACAAAACTGTCCGAAAACTGTTTAGCCAGAAAAATGATCATTTCACTGGCTAAGAAGTGTTTCAAAAAGTACACAAGACGATCCTTAAATATAAGGATTGACTGTAAACAAGTTTTCGTGCGCACCAGTGCGAGCTGCCGAATTCGCAATTACCTAATGTTCTCCGCTTCGTTTCGATTCAATTTTAATTTTTCGCGCGGCAAGACGCGGCGACCTCTGTCGGAGCAGTCGAGAAGCTATGGAGCACTGTAGAGCGGCAGCTCGAGCCCGCCGGTCTTCGTTATCGCTTACTCCGTGGCCGCGCCGCGTGCGCGCACCGAGATGGCGGGTCGGGCGCGGCGCGCGCGAGTCGCATTTCGCCGCGGACGGTTCGATAAAAATCAGTCGTCGCTCGGTGGCTGACTTCGCACGATCGGGGATCGTTTTTGCGGCCGTTGCGTGTGTCTCGCGCGCGCTCTCTCTCTCTCTCTCTTTTCTTTCCTCGGCGACGAGCGGCGTATCGCGCGGATAGCGGCTCGCTTTGCGCCGCGGCTGCCCGGCGCGCCGTTACCGGTCCCCGGGATCCGGAGCGAGACGGTGAGTAGCAAGCGACCGAGAGCGCGGGGCCCGACGGCGGGGCCGGAGCGGCGCCCTCGCGGGATCAGCTGGTCCCGTCGCCGCGAGGCGACTCGGCGTGCGTCCCACCTGCCGCCCGAGATCCGGAAGTGTCAAGCCGAGAGAGCCAAGGTTAGGCCGCGGATGATGACGCTCGTTCGCGTCGCGTCGCGTCGCCCCGTTTCCCCTCTCGCCCGCGCTCTTTCCGTCCCTCGGCGGGTCGCGAGCCCCCTCGATCCGGGGCGGCGCGCCGACAGATCGCCCGTCCCGCCTCCGGAGGATACAAACTACTGCCCGTCGAAACTTGGAAGGGTCGTCACGATGGAGCCGCGCGCCTCGCGGCGGCGGGGAGAGTGTTGGTGTTAGGGGCGAGGGGCCCTGGACTTTATTGCGCTGCGACGTTATCGGTGACCAGGGCATCGATTCTGTATCCCGCGACATAGTGAAAATGCTCAAAATGCGCGGCTTCGTCCCTTTCTAAGGGGACAGTTAGAAAGAGACACAGCCACTCGCTTCCAGCATTTTCGCTACAGCGTAAGATACAGAATTAATTGACCCCCGGCACCGCTCTCCCGCCCCGGTTGGCTATCGGAGTGCGTATTACGGAAATTTTCCGAATAGATTTCGATCGGAATTGTTCTATTGTTTCCTACATTTTTCTTGTGTTTCTTTAGGGAAAACTGAATCGTTCCGATCGAAATCAATTCCGAATATTTCCACGATAGGTGCTCTGAAGCGTGACTGTCCCTTTTCCTTAATTCCCCTTCTCTGTAAAGGCGAGCGACAGAACGAGAGAAAGAGAGAGAGAGAGAGAGAGAGAGAGAGAGAGAGAGAGAGAGAGAGAGAGAGAAGCGCGTGTTGTCCCTTAAACCGCGCGCCCGAGGGCCAGGCGGAAGCTCCGGGACGCGGGGGTGCGGCCTTGATTGGCACGAGTCCGCGTCGCTCCGGGACCTTCTGGCGGAGGCGCCCTTTCGCGCTCACGACCGCTAGATTACATTCTCACGCGCTTCCTATTCTCCCTTTCCCTCGGCGGTGGCGGCGGCGGCTGGAAGAGTCCGAGCGAGAGGCTCTCTCGCCAGCGGTCTGTCCCGCTCGTGAAATATAATATGCGCGCGAGTGTAATTCATTTAAATGCGTGTACGTGCGTGCCCGCCCCGGGTCCCCGGCAGTCCCCCCCCCCTTCGCCCGAGGGCTCTCCGGGATTGATTTCCGCCTGGCGGAACTTATTCCTTGATTACCTCGTTGCAGCGCGATCCCCCAACGACGAGGCGAGACGAGCCGAGCCGAGTGTCGGGCGCGCGCGAATCATCAGCTGCCCCGTCGATCGTCGACAGAGAAAGAGAGAGAGAGAGAGAGAGAGAGAGGGACAGGGAGAGAGTCCGCGGTGCAGGGGCGTTGTCCTCTCTCTCGTCGCGTATCCCGGTTGCACGTCCTTCACCTCGTCCGTCCTCGAAAGGGCGAGAGAAGAGCGAGGGGAGGGAAAGAGAAAAAAGAACGACACCCGACTCGGGGATGCAAACGCGCGCGTTGCGCTCATCGGCGGCCGCCCGGCTGATCGATCT